CTCGCTCCCGGTCAGGGAAAACCCCACAGGCTGCAATAATTGGGCCAAGACAATGTTGAACATTCCTGATTTTTAGATATGGCATGTTCAACACACCACACACTGCAGGACTTTGCAAGATTGTCGTAAAGGGGACATCACTGAGTACAACAGCAGACCTTTAATATGTTTTTGGTGCTAAGCAATTCAATGATTTATAAACTAATAACAGTGCTTCAAAATCTCTTTTCTGAGCTACAGGAAGTCAGAGCACATTTTCCTGGTAGTAAAATCTTCACCACTATCTTCCTGAGAATTCTCAGGAATGTGAGTTGTACTTTTAGTTTCTTTATTTCTTTTTCTTTCTTTCTAAAATATATTTCAAAACATGTTAGAAACAATGAAACATTTTACTTCCACTGTACTATCAAGTTCTGGTTTGGACTGTTATTTTAATACGACAGTCTTAAAGAGTTTATTGGCATGAGTACCTGAGCAAATATCTTCAGGTAAATTGTAGCTGTAATCTTGCACCAGATAATAAATATATTCTTACTGTAAAATGATGTATAATGTTGTTTTATTTTGGTAACAGATACAGGAAGATTGTTAAATGGAAATGTTGTTTCCGACTTGAATTTCAGGAACCTGCTGCTGAAGATAAGCGTTATTGGTGTGCTGTGTTACCACTGGCTTGGAAAAATTGCTGTGGAACAAGATCCTCAAGATTCAAAGGTTATTAGCTTCCCCATTCTTAAACCTGTCAACGCTAATTACAAATGTGAAACTACACAGCTATATCATAAAAAAAATATGGGCTTCTTTCACCACATTGATAAGACGTGATCTCATCAACGTTTGTGCTGTTTTTTTTTTTTCTCTTATTTTTATCTTCTTAAAAAATGCAAATAGATTTTTCTTCTTTGTGTGTCTGCATAGTGCTGGGAGAATTTTGTGGGGCAGGAACTTTATCGCCTGCTCCTGATGGACTTCATCTTTACAGTGCTTTACACTTTTCTAGGCGAGTTTGTATGGAGGTAAATCTGCACTTCATCAGTCATGTAAATACATTGGAATGTTTTTAACCTGGAGGAAATTACTTTCAGCTCACAACATGTTGTCTACCCTCCAGGATTTTCTCCCAAAAAATATTAAGAAAGAACAGAAAGCCTGTGTTTGACATTGCTCGAAATGTTCTGGAACTCGTTTATGGACAAACGCTGACTTGGTGATTGTAATACATTTGAAATTGATCAGGTCGTTAACAGAGCTACCTTAGACTGATTTCCCATTTTCTGCCTCCAGGCTTGGGGTGTTGTTTGCTCCTCTACTCCCCGCAGTCCAAATTGCAAAACTGTTTGTGCTGTTTTACATGAAGAAGGTTGGCAAAGCATGTATCACTAAGTCATTCCCAAGAAACACGCATGCACACCCAAATGACATTCTTTTTCTTATCTTTCTGTTTTCATCTCTAGAACAGCCTCATGCTCAACTGTCAGGCATCCAAAAAGCCTTGGAGGGCAACTCGTATGACAACAACATTCATTACGCTCTTGTTCTTCCCCTCATTTCTCGGTGCTGCTGTTTTTGTTGCCTATACAGTTTGGATGTAAGTGTCATGTTACTTCTTGAATACATTGCTCAGAGAAAATGTTGCCGTTCTACATAGCTGTGGCATGAAGACTGAGAGGGGACCCGTGACTATTAAGATAAATTTAATGCTGTTATTTTACTTGGATTAAAAAAAGTTAATTGTAATTACATGTATATTTGATTAAAGATATAAGTAATAAGTTAAACACCAGTAAAAGAGTAGTTTTAATCAGTGGTATACAAGTATAGGACTGAAAGAATCTTCTTTATTCTCATTACTCAATTGATAGGATGATTTATTCATCAAATTAGGCTCTAATGATAATCCATACTTCATGAGACGTTGAAAATAACTTGTCCTAAAACATCTCCACTTAGGCAAAAATTCAAGTCTGATCCAAAAACACATGAAACAGATTTATTCAAATAAGGCCTAATAAAATTTTTCAAGGACTTTAGACCATCTAAACCTGAATTAAAACTTTATAACATAAAAACTATTTTGGAACCAAACTGAGCTAAACCAAAGATTGACGAGCACAACATAAAAAGGTAAATAATATTGTGTTCAAAATCGAAAGTTTGTGAACGGAACAAAGAACATGCTTGCTTAATTTTTAAATCCATTATCAATCAACTTTTCAAAAGTCAATATTGTAATCTCCCAGAATCTCTGTCCTTTTACAGAATCAAACCATCATCAGGGTGTGGCCCTTTTAGGAACTTCACCAGTATGTTGGCGTCTGTGAAGCTGTGGGCTGAGAGGATGAAGGACTATCACCAAATTCTTTCTTGGCTCATTCAAGCTTACAATGCTTTCACAGATAATCCAATCTTCTTGTTCCTGCCCTCTGGTGTATTTCTGTAGGTCCTCATAATTATAACGAATCCAGATTACGCAATTTGCTTGATGTGGTGTAATGTTTTCATACTTTTCTCCCGTTTTCAGACTGGCGATATATTTCCGTATTCAGGTAATAGATGGCGAAAGCAGGATTATCAAACGGTTGGAAAAGCAAATTGATGATGTAAGTGAAACCCTACTTTGGTCTAGAGTAAGTAAAGCCTGACCAGTGTGTTGGAGTATGGGAAAAACAAAACAAGAAAGCAATATACTTTCCTTTCACTTCACCACAATGAGCTGTTTTGTGTTGATCTATCCCACAAATCTCAACAAAGGGATTTGTTGGAAGCAAATTGATGATGTAAGCAAAACCTGGCTTTTAATCTAGTTTTAGTATAGATTAAAACAATGCATTAAAACAATATACTTCTGTGTCTTCTATTATATGGCTTATAAAAAATTTAATTAATTAATAACGCAATATTAAACAATGGATTTGAACATTGAATTCCTAGGTCTATTTTAGCCCAACACTTGGAGCTGTTAGCTTGTAAAAAAAACAAGACACCAGTAACTAAATGTTTTTTTCTCTGTATTCAGGAAGGTAAAGACAAAAAATTTCTCATCACCCAACTACAGTATTTGTATGAAAATAATCCAAATTCCAGTCAGAGACAAAGGTAAGTTGGGCTCACTTCCTTTTTGGAAACTTTTCTGGTAATTGCAGAGCCCATCATTGCTGAAGGAACAACAAATTGAACTGGAACTGTCATGCATTTCGAATTTTTCTTTTCAGAGGAAGATGACATCTCCACTTTGTCTGCACGTTGGCCGTTAAACTTTGTTGTCAGCACTGAGATGCCTGAACTCTGAGAATAAATGCCGAAGAGAAAAACAGAAAAAGCAGCAACACACTTTGTGAAGTTTTGATGTACTTTGATTAATTGACAACATGTCGAACTCTTCTGCATCCATTAACTATTATAAATAAAATATTTTGCATACGATGTAATTTTAGATTCACTTCAAAGTTTTTGTTTGTAAAATGCAAAAATAAAATTTTACCACATATTATGCTTCTTCAAATGTGTCATGGGACTTTACACGATAGTCCACAAGAGTAATTCTCTGAGCTGTGACGTTGTCTTTCTAGAAATATTCCAGATGTGTTTGCAGGTTTCTGCAGCACATCATATATTGGTATCCCTTCAAGTTTTTCTTTCCTGTCAGTCTGGTGGAAAAATAAAAATCGTAGATCCAGTCACTCTATAAAAGTCAACCTCTTAACCACAACACAGCTTGAAATATTACTGATTGTAATTTGGGCAAAGAACAAGAGAGTTGAATTGTACACATTACAAATCTTTACTTGAAATTGTACAACACTTTTAAAGCATGCACTGTCAAATAATTGATGACCTGAGATGAGTCATTTATCTTCAAAAAAAACAAAATATTTTTGCTGAGAGTTTCTTTGGTTTATCATTGCTGATCAATGCCAAACCAAAATGCATAGAAGAGAACTAAATAGAGCTTGAAGTGTCTGATGGAAATCTGGAATGACTGGAAGGCTTTTATATGGAAGGCCTTAGAACAGAAAACTGGGTGTTGAAAACCTTTACTAAACAATCTCTGTCTGCAAAACAGATGGACTTTTGTAACAGTGGCAACAAAAATGTTTCCAATACATCTAATTTATATAGAACCCAACACATTCATTTGTGCTACAAAAAATTCTCTCAAATTAACTTAAAGGAATCATTAGGATTTATTTTATGTAGTGAGGTTTTATGAAGTTACTATTAATGTTTCCCCTAATAGAAACAGTCCTATCTCTGTGAGTTATTTTAAAATGTTGACGTCTGATAAATAGGGGAGGAGAAAATCTGTCTGGCTGTTACTTTGCACCACTCTGAGGATTGCTTTGTTTTTCTGCAATCTCGCTGAGATAGATTTACTTCAGATGAGGGGTTTGTAGCAACTCCCTGACTTCGGTGTCATCTCAAGCACTTTTGGGCAAGTGTTTGGACATATACTGGACAGGAAGTCAGTCCTTAATGATGTCCCATCATTTGTGTTAATTGTTTTCATCAGACATGCCAAAATTCATAGAATAGATATGCTGTTGTTATTCCCACATGTTTAAACTTGTGAAATGTTATGAAATATTTAGTGCAGAAAACTAAAAGCTCATATTCGCAAAAATGGGTTGCAAAAATACTATTGCAAAAATACTATTGCAAATAATATGAAATTAACAACTGTCAGTCACGTTTTTACTGGTTTTATATAATCTTAAGGGCAAATGAACTTATCTAACATATCCTCCACGGAAGATTTTTTTTTCCATTTCCTGCTTACCGCATCAGATGTCGTGCGACAAAACAACACGGTTATTGCTGCTCAATCAACAATCCCCTCTTTAAGGGTTTTACCTGCTGCTTAACAGGTTTTGTGACATTGAAGATTTTTCGTTTGAACTTGAGATTAAAGCAAAACTAAAAGTAGGAGGAGATTTCATGGGGCTTTACACAATAGTCCACAAGAGTACAAATGTTGGGCATAAACATTTTTTTCTTTTCATTTGTCTCACATCTGCATCAGGATAATGGCCTTCGGTAGGGGAAAACTCACATTTATGATTTTAACTTTTAATTTACGTAGTTTTTTTTGCTTGAATTTTTTTCTTGGGGAAAAAAGAAACAGAAAATGAATTCTATTTATTTCAGATATCGGTGAGAAAGCACCTAAAAAAAGAACTTTCATGGTGGTCCCAAAGAAATACCAGACTGCCTTGCAGCAGTACTATGAATTGGTAAGCAATTTTTGATGCTTTATGGATCATTTTAATGCCAAAAATTATTGGGAACTTTAAGCTTCTTTGTTTTTCTGTCATTTAACAGGATCATGGCTTGTTCATCACAGAGCTGAATCCCAATATAAATGAAGGTTATCTGGCTGCCTACTTTAAACCTTTTGGATGTGTCACAATGTGCAAGGTGGAGTCAAACCCACATTTTTTTTTACCTTTTTTCTGTCATTTGTCATGACTTATCTACAGAAATGATTCTATAACCTTTTGCGTTTTGATTTGATCCAAGATCAGGAATAGTTCCGGCTCTTCAAAGGATAGAGTGGCCTATGTGAGGTTTTCCACAGAAGATGAAGCAGACCAAGCAGACTGGGCTGGTCCTCACTATATAGGAGGGACAGAATGTAAAGTAAAACGGGTTGTCAGTCCAAAGGTGAGGCTTTACATAGACGAGCAAAGTGTGCAATTTTCATCTATGACCTTGTCAGCTAATATACAAATTTGCCTTGCAGATCGAAGGCGAGTCAGTCGGTGAGCCCACTCAAGTGCAAATTAAACCTGCACTTCGCCGTCCAATGGGTCTGGGCTACATGCTGGAAGATCCTCAGTGGTTAGATGAAGAAGAGGACGAACAAACCAACCAATTTTAATATGTATTGTCTGTTGAAAGACCTAAGACGAAGACTTTGCAAAGTTGTGTGTTGTCAAAATAACCTGTAAATGCTTCCTAATCTGCCATCAGGTCTATTATGTTATGGAGACACAACACATCTTCTTTTTTTTTTTTTTTTAATTCTTCACCTTTTGCTTTGATATGCCTGTTAATGGGTAAATATTTTGCCCAAATATATGTTATCATCAACAATGGAAGAGGATATACAATACTTTTTAAACAAGCCAAACTCCTATGTACTACTAAATGTCAATTCAGACTATCAAACAACTTTTATTTGAAAAATAACTGTACTTTTGAACCAATTGTTTCTGTTTCTAACAATAAACATACATGAACTAAATTGAATTTATTGATCTGGTATATTCATTTCTGGTCAAAATAATGGCCCACGAATGTCAAACTGTTAAGAAAAGTCATGTGACCATAAACAATTACTCAAGGCAAAGCTCTTATTTTGATATGTAATTTAATTTAATAACAAAAGAAAATTGTTAAGTAAAAGTTGCTTAAATGTAAAAGAATACCACTAAACTTGTATCCTTGGGCGCAATGATTTACGTCACAGATTAACATTCAATCACAGTGCAGAGCGTCAACACAGACTGCAAAAACATGCTTACTTTTCAAAGGAAGATGACGACTCCATGCTTTCAGGCATGTCATCTTAGTGAACAGTGTTATCTCATCAGTTGAGATGCCAGAACAGAACATCGCTCATAAATGTCAAGGAAAACAAAACGAAAATAAGTTGCAAGTCTGATATACTTTGTGAGTTTTGATTAAAATACCATTTCAGTCTGAATTCTTCTGCATCCATTGTTGTCCAACAGCATGTTTTGCATTGTATGTATTTTGTAACAAGTCTAACAGTCACCAATTGTGGTTTGGCCAAAGAAAAAGCAAATACATTGTTCTGAGAAGAATAATCTTGAAAATCGTCTTTATAGCAAGTTTGACCTTTTTCCTTCCGGCCGCCACTTTGGGATGCCTAAGATTAGAGCGAGAAGGAAACCCTTAACCATCTAGACTGGGACTGTTCAAAATAGATTGATCAAAGATACTCTTCTGTCTGTCCGCGTAAACCAGTGAATTGTTATAGAATATTTAATTCAGAAGACTGTAAGCTTTTGCCCATTGCCAAAAATTGGTTACACAAACTTTCAACAGCTGTCAGACATGTTTTGACGATTTTTATATCATCTCATACTGCACTTTTCTGAAAAGATAAGTTGGCATAAACTTATCTAACATATCTCGCAGGGAAGATTTTTTTCATCAGCCCTATACCCATAACTGATGTTGTGCGACAAAAAAAAAATAAAACCTTTATCGCTGTTCATTTAAGTAAAAAAGTAAGCCCTTGATTATTTTTCACCCTAGTTGCTTAACAAGTTTTGTGACATTGACTTGTTTAAGCACATTTTTTCTCTCTGAACTTCAGATTAAAACAAAACTAAAAGTAGGAGGTGATTTCCTTGCACCTCCTATAAATGATGCTTCGTCTGCTTGTTGCACATCATTTTTCTTTTCAGGACCACGTTTGTCTCTACATCTACATCTACATCTGGATAATGGCGTCTGGTAGGGTGAATCTTCTATTCTTTATTTTATGTTATATTACTGAGTCTTTCATTTTTTTGGACTGGCTTTATTCCTTGGAGCAAATTATAAAAAATGTCCTGAAATATTATTATTATTATTATTATTATTATTATTATTATTTTCAGATAAGGTTGGGACGACACCAAAAAGAGTTTTCATAAAACTTCCAAAGAAACACATGGCTGGTTTATCCCTATACTATTCCTTGGTAAAGAATTTCTCATGCAATCTGAAGTTAAATATTAATAGAATCCTTAAGCTTATTTTTTTTTTTCTATGACTGAACAGGATCATGGCTTGTTCATCTCAGACCTGAATCCCAATGTAAGTGAAAGCCATCTGGCGACATATTTTGCAGAATGGGGTTACGTCACAATGTGCAAGGTAAATTCAAACCCACATTTTATAAGTAGGCCTAAAGTTATTTTATACATTTATTTAATTTTGTCTTGAATTATCTGCAAAAGTAATTGTATAACCATATTAGCATCGCCATTTGTGTTTTGATTTGATCCAAGATCAAGAGTTCGTCAAAGGATAGACTGGCCTATGTGAGGTTTTCCACAGAAGATGAAGCAGATCGAGCAGACTGGGCTGGTCCTCACTTTATATTTGGACAAGAATGTAAAGTAAAACGGGTTGTTAGTCCAAAGGTGAGTAAAATTTGCTTTCCATAGGAGAGCAAAGTGTGCATTTTTCATTCATGGCCTTGTCAGCTAATAAAATTCTGTCTTGTAGGTTGAAGGCGAGTCAGACAATGTGCCCATCCCAGGGCAAAATAAACCTGCAAAACGCCGTCTACAGGGTCTGGGCTACAGACTGGAAGATCCTAAGTGGTTAGGTGAAGAATAAACAAACCAATCAGTGTTGAGATAAATCAGGAATCTCGAGACTTGAAGGCTTTAACGATGAGGAATGTTCTCAAAATAAATAAACTCTTCCTAATTTGCCATCACATCTGCTATATGTGTTATAGAGACATGACACATTTTCTTCATGAATCTTTCTAACGTTTTTTTGTGTGTTTTTGAGAAATATTTTGTCAAAATATATCATTGTCAGTGATAGATGAATAAAATATAAAGTGTACATTTGCAAATTATTCAAGAGAAATTCCTATGTCTTACTAAATACACAGATCAGATCATCACACAACTCTGCTGTGGAAAAAATTACTGCATTCTGAGACACATTTTTCTGTTTCTAGCGTATACAATTCTAAGATTAATTAAAAGTATATGAATTAAATTGAAAATATTGTTGTTTTTATTTTTGTAATCAGTGATTGTCAATGAACTAAAAACTAATAAACAACTAAATTCTTGTGAATAATTACTCAAGGTAAATAATTTATTTTGATATGTCATGCAACAATAGCAATTTATAGAGAAAAAGTTGTTTTAATACTGTATAAGAAAAAATATTAGCGACAGACGTTGAACGTCAGAAACAGGAAACTGAACTACTAACCTTGGACGCAATGAGCTACGTCACAGATTAACAGCCAATCCGGTGCACGGCGTCAACACTGGTTACGTGAAAACATGGCGGAGAAAGAGGAAGAAGTCTGCTTCAAAAAGGTAGGAGCGGGAACCTCGCTCAAATTTCAAGTTTTTGATCGACTTGTTTCAGCTTATGCTACATGGCAGTATCCTTTTTGTATGCTTACGGTACAAGTCCTTCCACCTTCAACAGACCTAACCAGGAAAGCACTGTTTGTTGTTTAACTTTAGACCAAACAAATGGCAAATTACGCATTCGCCGAATTGAAGGTCGTTTCTTAAGCATTTAATAAAGTCCTAAATATCCCGTGCTTGGCTTGACGACATCTGAAATCCAGATGGTGTTTCACAGAATGTAATTTTTAAAAGGTAAGACTGTTCGTTACAGAGAAACAAGTAAAAAAAAATATCTAGAAGCTTTCGGACGAAAGCTTCTAGATAGTATTTAGTAGCAAAGGAATTAGCTTAATTCCTTAAAATTTCTTTAATTTGCTTTAAAGGAATTTACTTCTTTTGAAGCAAATTTCATTACAGGTCTTATCACTAAATAAAAATGAACACACACACACAAAACAAAACACCTGGCACATCGTTCATGCATGAGTGCAGAGTTAAGTTTAACTTCTTGAATTACTTGTTGAAATTTTCACTAATATTCTAAGATTTGTTTGTACTCTCTTCTTCACTATGCTGTCATGTTCTACATCTCACAGGAAACCGTGAGCAAACTCCTGTGCAGTTCCTTTAAAGAGGACAAAACCAGATGTGAGTTTCAGAACAGTGTTCTATTTTTATTATTGGTAATTTGGTGAAAAAAACTGAATAAATGTTTGTGTTACAGTAGGCAGTGATGCTACGCAACTCATGAGAGAAATGCTGAAAGTATTTGTGCAAGGTGATGATTTCAGTGTCCAGATTGCATGAGTTACTGTACTCAAGTTAGGTTGCACAGCAATAAAATTCTTTGGTCATTGCCAGAGGCTGCTTTGAGATCGCTGAAACAAGCCGAATCCGAGGATTGCAACCAAGTTGAGATTGAGCATTTTGAGAAGATCCTGCCTCAGCTGGTAAGTTGCTCAACAGATTCTGGACTTTTTGTGATTTGGTATGCTTGCACATAGTCATTGTAACTTTAATAAAGTCAGATAGGAAAATTGTGATTTTAGTTAAGATTTAAATTGTGTCTTTTATAGGCACAAAGTGACATTTCATTGTATAAACTTCTGTTATGAAAATGAAATGTATAATATACAATTTTACTTTGTATTTTAACATCTTGAAATTGGGGCTCTTTTTCTTTAAAAAATATTGCTATTTCTGGAACTCCACATTCAGGAAGTCATCACAACATCACTCCTCTATTCACCCCTTAATCAATTTTTTTCCAGTGCTGCACTGGTACTGAAAACTGCAACTCTGAGGAGGAGCTACGCCCTAGTGTGGCGCTAGGCCCACACAAGCGTTTTGCACAGCTTAATGGTTGCCATGGGAGATTAAAGGATTTCTCAAATGTCCATAAAAAAAAATCAAGCCACACTCCTGCTGTTTTTGATTAAAGAATAACTTCATAACATGATGTGGAGCTCAAGAAAGTCTATTTTACATAATACTGCCCCTTTAACTAAAATGTAAATGTAGTTGGAATCAAGTTAAAACAAATTCATCCAATTTCTTTTCAATCGAAAAGCCTAAGTTAAACAGTAAATGTGTGTTTTTTAAAACAAGTTTTGTTTTTGACTTTTGGTTTTTCATCTTGTTTCCTTTTGCAGCTTCTGGATTTCTAGTTGAACCACAAGATGGAGCCAGAGGGCAGCTAACAAGTCACTACAAGCTTTAGTTTTTGAGATTTGTTGTTTTTTCTTCAGTAAAGATACCTTCCAAATTAAATTTGAGGTCATGTTGATATTCCTGTCATGTGTTTTATATAATTTTTTTTCAGATTTAAATTTACAAACCCCACAGTGTTGTCCAAACGTAACCTCACTTCCACCAATAAGGGCCACCTGTGCTCATCTATGGAACAACAGGTGCTTCCAGCATGCTCCATGGCGCCCTTCATCAAAGCCTCCAGGAGCAGTTGGAAGCAATTAGAGTAATAAGGGGAGCAGCCAGTCCCTTAGATGATGACAAGTGCCAGGAAAAAAGGAGTACCCCCTCTGGCCACTTTGAAGTTCCCTTTTGCTGTCCTGCGATGTTTGGTTAGAGGTAG